AAAAATTGATCCGCGTTTGTCCCAACAGGGACTTCTCACTTGACAGTTTCAGCCCGAATTGTCGCAGCCTTTCGAATACCGACCTCAAATGCCCCACGTGTTCGGCTTCCGTTCTGCTAAAAATCAGCAGGTCGTCCATGTATACTTGACATACGGAGTCGTCGATCCCCCTCAGAAATTCGTCCATCAGGCGTTGAAACGTTATGGGCGCATTCTTCAGACCAAACGGCATTCTGGTGAATTCGTAATGCCCCCTTTCGAATGTAAACGCCGTCTTATGTTGGTCCTTCGGGTGCATCCGTATTTGGTGGTATCCCGCCTTGAGGTCCAACGTGCTAAACACCACGGCCCCACTCAACCTATCAAGTATATCTTCGAATCTAGGGATCGGGTACTTTTCGTCTACCGTGTTGTCGTTCAACCTACGATAGTCCACTACCACTCTGTATTTTTCCTTATTATCCCCCGGCGCTGCCTTCTTTTTCACTGCCCACAGGGGACTATTAAATGGCGAGGTGCTATCGACTATGATCCCTTGCTCCTTTAGGCTTTCCAATTCCTCCCGAATATGCTGCCTCAGCGCCTGCGGGTATCTCCTTTCCTTTACGTAGGTCACCCTATCTTGCTTCAGTGGAACTTCGTGTACCGTCTTCCCTGTTACCCCCAATACCTCGCCCTCCCTGAAGAAAATATCTACGAACTCCGCTTGTAACGCCTTTCTCCAGTCCTCCACCCTGTTCACCGCTCCTATCCGCACCCTTCTTTCTCTCGCGACCCCTATACATCCAAATTTCCTCTTTCCCAGCCTGATACTCCAAGCTCCTCTACGGTTTCTAATGCTTACCCCTACCTGTCCTAACAGATCACACCCTATTATGACTTGGTACTCCCGCGTCATGCTCTCTACCACATGCACCTTTAGCTCCCCCTTTTTCCCTGCCCACCGATCAAGCGTAATTGACGCTTCCCCTTCTACTTTACAGGGACCACCCAGAGTGATTAGCTGGCAGCCACAGTTTTGTATCCGGAGTACCCTCTCGCTCCCGCACACTCTCCCCAACGCCCCCCGAGTCAAGATAGTACTCGAGCTCCCTGTGTCCACGAGACACTTCACTCCCCCGTCTACTTCAATAATCGGCAACCAGCATGGCTTACCTCTAATATTGTTGCAGGTTGCTGTGCGGTCGCCTCTCTGCTGACACCCTTCTCAGATGCCACCTCGCTTCCTCCTTACCGCCGTCGCTCGTCGTTGCTCGCTCCGTTGGCTGCTCCTGCCTCCTTCGCCTCCACTGCTGGCTGGCTCGTCAGTCTCCGTTCCCGACGTCCCCGACTCCTCGGTTGCCTCTTCCGAAGATCCGTCTCTCTGCTGCATCCTAGCTCGTTTTTTCAACTTTTGAGCGTTCACCTCCATTGGCTCGTCTAGAGGTCTCTCTCTCCTGCGAAACATGTACGGGCACTGTCTGGCAATATGCCCTTCAGTCCCGCACTCGAAACATCTAGTGCGCGGACATTGTGCTACCAAATGTCCCGGTTTCCCGCACCCGTGACATTTTCTGTCTTCCCTCCGGGGTCCATTCCTAGGCCTGGACTGTCCGGATCTTCTCTCGCCCGTCGTGGCTTTTTCTCCGTTCGGGTGTTTCATTTCCCTCTTCCTCCACCCTATCTGGGCTGTCCGGGGTCGTCTGTCACTCACTCGGGTCCACCCTGGTTCTTCTACTTCCATCCGCGTCTCTTCCTCTCTTGCACTCAGATCTATCATTTCTTGGGCACACTCGAGGAACGATCGCTCTCTAGGCAGTCCGTCCCTTCTCCCAGTCTCCTTAGCCAACTGAACCTTGAGTATTGTCGAAAGGAATTCCATCCTAGCTTCGACCTCTCCCACACTCATGGTTTCACGCATTTTCTCAGTTATGCGGTTGTACTTCGCCACTAGTACCCCCGCATACTGTCCTCTTGTTTGGCGTTGGGACCGACACTCCCTAAACATTTGGAAGATATCTTCTTCCGGCGTCCATCGGCCCCCTCCGAAAGCCTTCTTCAAACGCTCCTTAATCACTGGCCATGGTGTCTCCTCGTCCGCTTGGATTTGGTTGAGGATGTTCCTCCTCACTCGGCACACGAGAGCTGCCTTCAGTGCTTCTGCGTCTCCCAGGTTCACGAGGTCCTCCGCCACCTTTGCTTCGATTCTTGATATGAGGCGGTCTCCACCTTTCAAGAAGTGATTAAGTTCACCTATCTCGCCCCCGAATCGCTCCAGGTCTGCGATTGCTCTCCGTAGATCCTGCGTGGTCGCTGCCCTTATCTTCATCCACTCCAATGCATTGGCGTGCGCCTCTGCCAATGTGTCCCTAGGTAAGGGAGGGATCTCTTGTATCTGCGGTACTTGAGGTATCTGAGGTATCTGCGGAATCTGCGGAACCTGAGGGGCGATCTGAGGAATCTGCGCTATCGGCATTTCCTGAGGTTGCGGCATTTCAGGTGCGTTCAACACTCCTGGTCGAATTATGCCCTCTGTCGGCATCTCGTATTTTCCTTATGACTAGGAGAAGAGAAAAAAAAATTAAAAGAAAGAAAGAAAAAAAAATTTTACTTCCGTGTTCTCCTGACGTTCTCCCGGGTTTCGGCACCAGTTAAGCGTCTCCGGGCTTTGTAAATAAAAAAAAAGAAGGAAATAGGAACGAGAAACAATACTCACGGCTTCTGAATAAACACCGCTTTATTCGTTCAATAATCTGCCTTATATACAATTGCTATGTTTATTTACATTACAAGATGGTATTAAGGCTGATATCGCCAGTCTCCGGTCTTTATCTTATATATACATACACATTGTTACAACTATTTTGCAATATTGTGATCTTATTGCTCATCTTTTTTCTTTAATATATAGATACAGCGATATAAATATTCTTCTTTTATTATTTATGTTTTAGTTATTGTTTTATTATAATATACATTTTGGCTAGATGTAATTTTAAATTTTATGATCAATGTTGTTATTCTTAAGAGACCTTGCCCCAGAATAAAGTGTATCCTTCTATTATATATATATATATATATATATATATATATATATATATATATATATATATATATATATATATACTAGTGATATGTTTTTTATGAGACATGGATGATGATGTTCTCTGGAGTGTGGTTTTACCAAACCTTAATCCTGGGACGGAAGGGTAATCACCTTTCGACATCCCTCAAGACTGATTGCCTATTTATTAAGTACTCAGCCTAATCTCAAATCTTAACCGAGCAAGGTGCGATTAAGGAGGGGAAGTTATATGAGGACAAATACTGTTCCTTCATCACAAAGATATTGTGTTTTAAATACAATACTCGTAACTTTTATACTTCGAATTGTATTAGTATACTTTTTACCAAATAAATTGGGAACAGCATTCATTGCACAGGCTGACTCAGTTCTTAATGACCAGACTCTGGTAGGTAATTCTATAAAAAAACTCCTAAAAAAATATTTCATTTGACGTGTAGGTTTTGAACCGAAAAATAGTTAAGTCTAATTCTGTCTTTTCTTAAGATAGTCATGTTTTGTCTTTCATAGAAAGTGAAAATACAAAAATGATTTAATTCAGGTGATTAAATTACTTCATAGTAAACTAGGTAAAATATTCTTTAAATACAAGTAGAGTTTGTCGTTGTCGAAACCTTTTAAAGGGGACTTTTGAGCCGCCAAACTAAGCTAAGTTGTGCTTTTCATTAAATCATAGATTCTTGTTGTTTTTTTATCATCCTACAACCATACTACAGATGCCTCACTTTTATAAAAACTTCCTTGTAGATAGCTGACAGAGACCACATGCGGATTCCCCACGTGTACTAAACAAATTACTAGTCTACAAGACCATCTGGAAGTACGTAACTGTAAGGGAACAACTAAGTCTTTCGAACATCAAACGCATACAATCCTAATCCAAAGTCCTTCGAACAATAGTCAATGCTCCATACTACGTCACAAACAAAACCTTACATCATCATCTCAACATCCCATTGTCCTCAACGTAATTCCATCAAGATTTTTAAATTTTCAACAAAAACTTATCTGTCATCCTAATCTCTCTAGCACAATACCTTTCCAGCTCCAACCATCCATATAATCCCCAACGAAGGTTGAAACGGCAGTGGTCTCGAGATATTATTCTATTATGAGTAAATATTCCATTGCAGTTCTGGCAGTGGCCAGCTTCTCCTCTTTAGTCCTGAGTGTATGAGTGGCTTAAGCGCTCTCACTCATGTCTCCACTGGCTTCCAAACAGTGATGCGGTTTAGATAGAAGAGCCCGCTTTGTCTTTCACACGAGAGCGGCAAAGCATGGTTCAGAGTTCTCTAGGCTGAATTTAAATATTTTATGTAGGAATGAATGAGTAACAAGTATTTTTTTTTCTTTTTATTATTATGATTATTTTTTTTTTCCTTTTACAAGTATTATTCCTATTTTTCTTTTAGTGTATTTATTTTTACTTACATGTTTTCTTCTTATTTTATTATTTTCCTCAGCCTGTATTTTAATTTGTATATAAAAAATATGAACGTAAGCATAGAGCCATGATTGTGCCCATGATAATGGCACTGATAATGATAATGAATGCCCATGATTGTGGCAGATTGTATTATCATTCTTCAAATACAAATCTATCCACAATCCACTTATTCTTTAGAGAAATCACTTATCTACCTTAGGTGTATCTTTATTCAATCTTGCCCTTCCTTCCTAATACGAAAGCTGCATAAGTCCTTAAATTACTCAGGGACAGTACCAACTAGATAGTAGTGTAGTAGACAAATATTGTCTTATGTTCTAAATATTATTAGGAAATAAAAAATATACAGAAAACTTGATAGACATACTTTCGTTTTGGATTTTTTTTTCTACTTTACAAGCACAATTCACCGCGGCTTAGGAATGACGTAGAGATAAGTGACTCTGCTGTTTATAAACTCCCTAATAACCTTCCGGCGCTGTCACCCAGGTGTGGATTGATGCCGCTTCCCAGATCTTCTTCTCGTTGGGCCCCGGATTCGGTACCCTTCTCGCCCTATCTTCCTACAACAAGTTCCACAACAACTGCTATCGCGACGCCATCCTCACCAGCTCCATCAACTGCCTCACCAGCTTCCTGGCAGGCTTCGTCATCTTCTCCGTCCTCGGCTACATGGCCCATGTCCAGGGGAAGAGTGTCGATCAAGTCGGGCTAGAAGGTTTGTTATCGCATAATACATTTAAATATTTTATAGCAGCCAATAGAATTGGTACACTAAAATGTGATTATTGTAATGTTTACAGGTCCAGGTTTAGTTTTTATCGTTTACCCGGAAGCCATAGCCACAATGACAGGATCTGTCTTCTGGTCCATCATTTTCTTTCTTATGCTCATCACCTTAGGTAAGTCTTCACAATCATTATATTATATTACTATCTGCCCAATTGCAGGTGTGTGTTATTACCGTAATGGTAGCCTAATTTAAAGATTGATGGAAATGACTTAAGACTTATAATAGTGGATTGATAGTTGACTATAGATTTGATAGTTGGATTGATAGAGAAAATTGAAGGGAAGTTGGTTCGGGTGTTCATTAAAAAATAAAAAGTAAAAATAAGTAACCGATATTTTTTTAAATACACATACAAAAACAATGAAAAATAAGAAAGTGTCATTTATTTATTCTTGCATTTTCTTTTTGACTGAACAATCCAACCAACTTCTCCGCGAAAATTAATGATAATTGGACAGGATTTAATGGATTTAGTATACATTTTTCGATTAAATCAAAGTAAAAGTTAACTGGTATTGAAAAATCTGGAAGCTTCATTGAATTAATTTTATTCCTGAAACATAATTATCATACCAATAGATATCAAAAATTAACTTTATTGTAGTTTTGTTCTTTTATTTTGTTTTAATTACATTTTTTATATTTTATTATACTTCCCTTTTCCATTGAAGATTTCTGAACCTTCAGATTGTTAATTTGTTTTAAAAATAGTGATCAATAATTCGATTCAAAAACACTTCAAACTCATTTTGTATATTTTTATTACGAGTCCCTTTCACAGACAATAATATTGAGTAAATATCGAATTTCGTCATTATAGTGACATTAATAAGCTGGTTGATATATATATTTTTTTAAGGCGCGTTTTTCACTCTGTTATTGAGAGTAAATTAGATTGAACCGTCAGATTTCCGATGTGTAAGGCTCGGGTAAAATCGACAGGAGTAGGCTATTTTAAGTGTTTTTATATATGGATTAAATTATCTCAAAAACTAAAAATCAGACCTGCAAATTGTTCGCAAGAGAAATATTCACCATTTCATCTTATTTGTAATGAGCTATTATTCGATAGTGTATCTTAATGCGACGCCGTATTAGACAGCCGAAAAGGAAAAAATAGTTTCGAAAAGCAAATGATAACGAGTTTTATTTAAGATATGGATTTAAATATCTCAGAAACTAAAAATCAGACATTCATACTGTAAACGAGGAAATTGATCAGCATTTCATCCTCTCCATATTTTTTTTTACTAATGCTCCTTCAATATTGTTGAATAGCACATGTAAGAGGTATATCATGCTAAATGCAATACAATTAACATTCTTTGCAATGAATTAAGTTTTATTATCCACTATAATTATTTTTCTTTTTATTCATGATCTTGCTCTCATGAAACATTCATGAAGCAGTCGACTTGGTCAAATCTATGGTGATGTGGCTTTTTAACCCAAATCGTTAAATGCTTTGGTTAAATCTTCAATGGAAAAGGGAAGTATAATAAAATATAAAAAATATAATTAAAACAAAATAAAAGAACAGAACTACAATAAAGTTAATTTTTGATATCTATTGGTATGATAATTATGTTTCAGAAATAAAATTAATTCAATGAAGCTTCCAGATTTTTCAATACCAGTTAACTTCTTACTCTCAAAAATTCGTTTTTGAATCCATGTAAAATAATTTACAAAACACAGTTGAAATTTTCTATTTACCTAAGGTATTGTAATTTGGTAATTGTCGATATAGGCGTTTTTCGTCATGAGGAAGAGGAAAACGACTCTAATTTTATAGATTAATTAATGTTCAACAAAACCTTCTCCAAACAGTTTATACAGCTCTATCTATAGGGAACCTAGAGAACGCAGCTCTGTATTGTTTTATTTGTATTGGAGTTATTTCTAGAATCAATATTTAGTTTGTGAGTTAATTGAAAGCATTCAGCTCTTCAGAGTGTTCTATAGTTGGGGAAAAGAAAAAAAAGTAAGTCTTTGTTGTGTACTCAATGCATGGAATATTAATATAGTTATAGTGAGCCTAATTCATTAAGACGAAAAAATCTATCAGGTTTTTTTTATTCAGTGGAAAACTTCTGAATGCTTATCTTCTTCCATTCCGGACTACAAAACACCTCTTCATTGTTTTAGTTTTTGATCATCTGATCTTGCAACCATGTTTTGGCATTCAAAAATTACCTGCTGATAGCAATAAAAGTTTGTAACAATTATTTTCAGCTAAGGAAGCATTCGGAAATGGGCCTGGAGACTGGAAGACTGATACGACAAAGTTGGAAATTTTGATTTGCCACAACTTTAAGAAATATTCTTCCAGTCGGAAAGACAAAGACGCTGAAAAAGGAAGTCTACAGAGACTTTTCGAGATAACGAATGAGATCCTTCCAACAGCATTGTTAGCGATTTATTGTCGATCTTGTGCTTCAAATGTTTCCATATCCTGATCACTTATAAAAGTTCTCAATGTTTAAAAAAAGATATGTCTGTTTAATATTTAAATGTTTTGTTTAAAAAAAAATCATAATAAAAAGGAATTACAGGATTTAACCGTGTTAAATAATTTTATTTTTATTTTTTTAATTTTGTAGAGAAATATTACAATCTATCTCAGTTAAGGACACTTGTAATAGAGCTCAGAGATTTAATTCATACCGTATATACAGAAATATAAATAAATAAAGTAATAACAAAAGAATAAGAAAAAAAAGAGAACAAAAGAAAAAATATATATATATACACATAAGTAATTAAAAATAAAAATAAAAGTAAAACAGACATCTTAGTGTTAAATAAATTAAAACGGAAGTTATACGGAAGAAAATAATTTATCTATACATTTTACAAAATGTTAATATTAAGACACACTTCAACTAAACTCATAACTAAATTATCAGTTATCATTATTTAGTACAATTAAATTTATATTTATATATAAAGTTGAGATTGCAGACCATGCAGATATTTTGCCGCCTTAACCAGTCTACTCCATCTATGCCTTTTTTTGGACTATTTCTTTCCGTTTTTCTACAATAATAAATAATATATTATATGCAATAATAATTTATATATTAGTCCTATTTATTTTAAAAAGTATGTTCTCTCCACTTGTTAACTGTGAAAATATTTCTACTTATAAAATATTAGTAAATTAAGATAATGAGATTGTAATGCTTATTATAAACATACCGAATTTTATTAAATTAAAAATACACTAAAATTTTCAAAGAAACACACTGTGGTGTAATGTAACGACCCCGTGTACAGCTTGTTTTTTTTAACTCGTTTTTTTTTAACAAATGAAAAAAAATAATATAATAGTAGAGCATATATATATATTCATTAAAGGAATAATAACGGAAGTTACCGGTAAGTTGGAGAGATTAACAAAGGCGTGTTCAAATGAGCCCAAATGTCGAGTAATAATACAAGAAGTATCGGAAGCTTTCAAATTTCGAACTGACTCAAAGCAGGAAGATGGACTGTCACCGATGTTCATAACTTGCCGCTGGAGAACGGAGGAGTGTACGTCGGAATGAATCATAAAATCCTTGGATACGCAGATGATAGAACTATCCTTAGAAGTTATGAATAGGACATTGAGACTCGGTAAGACTCTGAGAAGAGAGGCAGAGAAAATCGGCCTACAAGTAAATGAAGACAAAACAAAATACATGACAATAGTACGTATCGAAGCTGTGTTAGGGGACAGTGGATCGGGCCTATGTCCAGTGACGTATACTGCTGCAAAACACGACACTGTCAAAGTGTCTCTCAGCTCTAATTTATTAGCTTGCCTTTACTATATAATAGCTAATATAATACCTTGTAATAAAAAAATGTATAAAAAAAATGACAGGGTGAGTGATAAACGGAAAGATATTTTTTGGGTGGAAGTCTTGCAACGCTAGTCTAAGCTAAAAAGTATAAGATATCCAACGTTGGCATAGTCATGCGTAGCCCCATGCCCACTACTTTTCTTTGATGCTTTATGATTAATCTTTGGAAATATATATCATAAAAATTCAGGACTTTTTAAGGTTTCTAGCGTTATAGCCAATTATTATCTCTCAAAATCGTCCACCCATGACCAAAAAGGTTTTGTTTATTGTTGTTTTTTTTTTGCTGAAACTATTCAGAATTTTTGAAGTAAAAACTACTTTAGGCGCCTTTTGCACTTTTTTCGTAGAGAAATGAAATGGAAACAGATTTTTATTATCCTGGGACTGTTGTCTCTTTGGGACAAATTATAGATACAAAGAAAATGCCTGTGTGGCCATACATTAAATAAAATATTTACAATTCTCATTAAAATTGAAATATTAGAAGAAAAATAAAACAAAAGCACTAAAAACATACAGAAATACATAATACAAACATGGGAAAATAAAATAACATAAGTAAACAAAATTTGGGGGAACTTAAAAGGTTCTCTTATCTACTTTTCTTGATCAATCGAGTTGGGAAAGAAGTAAGTGCTTAGAAAGGAGAGATTTAAATGAGGAAACTGATTGTACATGTCGGATATCGGGAGGGATGATATTCCAGATGGAGACGGCTTGAATTATAAAGGATTTGTCAAACACAGCAGTTCGGTGAGGAGGTGGATAAGGGTTGGAAGTACAGGGTTTAGTGGGACGGGATTGAATGGAATATTTAAATAGTAAGCTGTGAAATATAGGAAAATCGCTGAGTTCTGATGGCTTGGTATAGAAAGTTGAATGGATAAAGCCATTTGAACTTGGTGTAATACTGGGTTATATGCGTATCTCATGAGATTCCGAAAACAAAACGTATTGCGCAGTTCATTAAGCGTTTAAGTTTGGCCTGAATTATCCCGAGAGTCCGCCGTACACCAGACTGCTATAGTCGAAGTGGGAGAACACAACGGAAAAAAACAGAAGTTGACGGTGAATGAATTAGATTGAGCCGACAGATTTCCGATTTGTAACTCACGGGCAAAGTCGGCTGGAGTCGACTTATTGAATTGTTTTTGCATACGAATTAAAATATCCCAAAAACTGAAAATTGGACCTGCATACTATAAGCGTGGATGATCTGAAAAGTACAGTACGGAATTGTTCAGTACTTTATCCTCTGTATAATGGGCTATTGTTCAAGTGTCGAAAACCAAATGATATCGAGTTTTATGGAAGATATGGATTAAAATATTTCAGAAACAAATCGGACCTAGAAATCTGAAATAGAAATGTTCAGCATTTCGTCCTCTTTACGATGAGCTAGTTTTTATAATTCATATTTCATGTTATTAATCCCGCCTTGATGTTTTTATTTCTGTCATCTGGTCTAAAGCTCACACTTTAGTTTTTTTTTTTTTTTGCATTTATCTTTGCTTTTCATTTTCGATTTCGAACTATTTTTTTTTAAATAAAAAAATTATATTATAGAGTTGAAATAGTTGTTATGATTAGCACTTAATGTAACATGACTTATAATTTTAATAATTAAAGTAGGCGGACTGATGTGGTCACGATCACTTAATTTTTCAAAGACACGGCGCCAGTAGCTTCTATACCCGCAAAACAGATATGTCATCTCAAATAATATAACTTAGGCGCCTGGTTATAATCCTATGCATTATAATGATTACAACTGCTATGGACAAGTTCGTAATCTCAGCGCTTAGCTCATCGATGACCTTGTTGATGTTTACACTGTTATCGTGTGGTCTAAAACACACACAAACACTTAGTTGTTTTTTTTTTGTTTATATTATAACATTTTACGCTGATAAACTAATAATTTAGAAATATTTCACTTGTTCCTATGACCAATATAAATATTTTTTTAGGTCTTTCCATCTCGTGCCATCCTTCTGAATTCACAACTAGCAAGAAAAATGCCACGAATCCCACTGTCAATATTTATACACTCCATTACATTACTTTAACAAAAGCCATCTTACAATATTTACAGGGGCTGTTTATTTTAATCATAGCGAGGGCGAGAGATCGATTTTCCTCTTTCCCTTCTCTAATTTTACATCGAATCATAAATTAACTCGGGTTTAAGTAATTTTCTTTTTTTAAAAAAACTGTTATTTTTCCATCTATTCAATCATTCTTTAATTGCTTTTAATAAAATCAGATCATCAGATTTGAAAAAAAAATATATCGGTGGACCGATTCTCGAAATTTTTATTATTAAAGAGTATGTATGTAAATATCGAAATATCAATCAAAAAAATCGATGTTGTTGAAGTATGTTTTATTATTTAAAAGACGGAAAAAAAGCTAAGACTGGAGTTTTAGATTCACGATAGCATTAATAGAAACACTTAAACTTTCTAGAAATAATTTTTTTTTTTTTTAACTTTTATTATGATATTTACAACTGTATTAGTATGAATACATCAATTAAATGTGTATAGAGGAATATAATCACATGAAAGACGCTTGTTGAGAAACTACCCATTAGTAGCACTCTAATAATTTGTCTACATGAGGAGATCACGAGGACATCTTTTCAGACGCCTCGGAGGGTTATCAGGAATCGAAGAGGAAGCAAGGTTAGAAACAAGAGGATTCGGATAGTTATGAAGTTTATTATGGAAGAATAGGTATCTGGATTTGGCCAAATCGGAAACATATGGAAAATTGAGGTCTTTCTTTATGGATTATTTTATTTCTGACAAGGTAAAGAGCATTGAGGATTTCACGAAGAATTTTCGATTGTAAAGATTGGATACGAGAGGAATTTGATGGTTTAGTGGAGTCCCATAGCTCAACTCCATAAGTCCAAATAGGTCATGTATATGAGTCGTTTGTAATTAATTGGAAGTTTAGAGCGTTTGTCCAGTAAGTGTTGAAGTAAGCGGAAACGTCGAGCAGTTTCTTGTCGTTTCAGTCTTGTATGAGGATTCCAAGTGAGATGTTTGTCCAGCTGGAGTCCTAGGTATCGGATTTGTTCTACATGGATAAGTGGGGTGTTATTAAAGGATGCTATAGGACAGCAATTCATTGGTTTACGACGAAGGGTAAAGGTGATAGAAATAATTCTCGATAACTTGTCGGAAATGAAATTATAAAATGTTCTGGATGTGGTTAACCAAGTATAGAAACATCAATCGCCGGATGTAAAAACTATATGGCACTTCCGGTTTAAGTACAAAAATTATTTTTAGAAAACTTGGATAAATACAAGGAATAGTGTTGTCCGAATGCAAGACAAAGAAGAGACTGAGGTGGTATTTGTCTTGTTCTTGCGTCAACAAACCTTGATCTTGGTCTTGGTATTGCGCAAGAGTCTTGCAGTTCATTATCAGCTTTTTGCTATTTATTAAATATAATACTTTAAATATTTAAAAAACGCATCAAAATAAGTACATTTAGATGTTTTATTGACATAAACGTTGTAAAGTACAACTAAATTAATAAAATTAAGAATAAAGAGAGATACTGATAACCCTCCTTCATCCCTCAGATTA